AATACGATAGCTAGTATGCTGGTACAGGCTCCATGACTCAGGGGAGTGTGCAATCGGCCCACTCAAAGGACACGCGGCGGTCGTTTTTCGAAGCGAACCGTCCCAAGAGTCCGTCCGACGTGGTGGGCTACTGGCCCATACTCGACGTGTGCCTTGCGTCAAACATTAGTCCTCCACCGATCACGAGTTCTTATCAAAACCAGCGGCCGTTTCGATGCGGGTCTGCCGCGAAACGTTTCCTCGCCAACGTATCGAGTCTTGCCGCCGTGTCCTAGCCTCTTCTTTTGCGAACCAATCCGGCCACCGACTGCGTTGCCACTCAGGACCCGCCTCCCTGTCATTCTTCGACAACTCGAGCTCTGGACTGCCTTCAAGGCGACAACAACGCGATGCCATTGCGTATCTGCACGCGACGAGATATCTTTGTGGATATTTCGGCGATCCCTCAGACCCAGATAACTGGAGCATCGTTCGCAAGGCAAGCCTCTCGCTGACCAATGAGATTCGCAGGACCATGCCGAATGAAGTCGTATGGTCGCCGATGCGCTATCTCGCAATCGTCAATAGAGTGAAAGAAGAGTGCGTTCGTCATAACGTGACCCCGGAACAGTGGCAAGCACTTCATCGGCCCTAGACGACCGACGCGAATCCGGGGGCCGGGGGGAGCTCTTGGGCCTCGGGTGGGCTCTTATTCACCCGGTGAGTCATGCCCCTAGTGCGTCATATTATCCCGGCCTACCAAGACAGGAAGGGAGGAATGTATCTGCGAAGAATACCTTGCTCTCTCTCTTAGAGAGAGATACCCCAAACTAGGGTATCTAGTCGGTACTTGCTAGAGTTAGGAATCTGACTCGACGGGTCTCGCTAGTTAAACGCTCGTTTCGCTAGTTAAATGCGCCGCCGCGACGCCGACTGCAGCATGCCGACAAGGGCAGCGAGGAGCCAAGTTGCCGGCAAGGACGCCCGAGCCGCAGGCCCCGGGCGCCTATTTCTAAAAGGTCGCACCTTTCAGGTCGCGTCTGACGTCAGCACAGGACTGGCGAGGTCCCAGGGCGCCCAACTCTAAAAGGTCGCACCTTTCAGGTCGCGAGGTGACGTCAGATCGCGAAACCGCGTCGGCCGGCCGATCTGCCGGGCGCACCTACTTCTAAAAGGTCGCACCTTTCAGGTCGCGTCTGACGTCAGCAGCCACTCGATAGCGAGGGCCCGGCACGCCTAAAACTAGAAGGTCCCACCTTT